CAGACCTTCGAGAAACTGTGTCATCTTTTTCTGGAAAAACTCCGGTGCTGATGTGCTGCCGAAGGGCAATCTCCGGAATCTGAACCTTCCAAAAGGTGTTATGAAGGTCGTCATATGTTGAGACTCTTCGGCTAGTTCAAACTGCCAAAATCCAGAGTTGGCATCAATTTTAGAGAAGTATTTCGCTCCAGCGAGTTGTCCCAGCACGTGTTCTCCAATTGGAAAATTAAGGATGCACTTTTCACGTACTTGTTTAGCTCGGTCAAATCTACGCAGATGCGCACGTCTCCATTGGATTTTGCGACTATAACCATCCCAGACCACCACTCTGTTGGCTCTTCCACGGGTTTTATTACTTGCATCTTAACCATTTCCTCAAGCTTCTCTTTTGTCTTGCCTAGCAAGGGAATGGCTACTCTCCGAGGCATCATCAGTGCAAAAGAAACTGCGTCATCTCGTAGCTCAATTTTGTAAGCTTCTTTCACGCGTCCCAGCCCAGAAAAAAGTTTGGGAAACTGACTTTCCAGCTTGACCTCTCCAGTACGTAAAGTCGCAACATCGCAGACCTTTTGGACGATTCCCAGCTTCTCACTGGCATCTCTCGAAAGATGAGCTTCATCTAAGTCGTTAATAACGTACAGGTCCGCTTTTGTCGACCTGGTTCTGTAGGTCATGTCCTTCGTGATCATTCCCAGCACGTCTAGTTTATGTCGACCGGGACCCTTTAGGATCTTCGTGGGCCTTTGCAGGGACGTCGCTGAAAAAGACGCTTTGTACGTCTCTGTCGGAATGACTGTCACGTCGGCGCCAGTGTCGACCTTGAAGACGATTGGCACCTCGCCAACTTGCACTGTCGCCGCCCACCGTTGACTGTTTTCGCATTCGATGACTCCAAGGAATGCAGTCTCTGTACTGGAAACTTGGTTCAGCGCTGCGGAGTTTGGGCATTGGCGGGCGTAATGTCCAATTATGCGACATCTGTTGCAAATCGCCTTTTGTGCCGGACACTGTTCTTTCGGATGCTGACTCTTGCCACAGCGTGAGCAGTGTCCAGTCGGTGCTTGAAACTGAGTAGAGTTGGGTACCGTCTTCTCGCCCACTCTTCCTCCACGATTGGCTTTTCTTGAAGGAGCCTTCTTTGATACGTAAAGGCGATCCACGTTGGTTCCACTGGACGCGTGAGGTCTGGTCTGTTGGTCTTTCACAACCTCAGACTGTCGCGTCATATTTGTTGCTTTTTCAAGCGTCCAGTCTGGATCAAGCTGCTGTCTTTCAGAAAGCTTGTGATCTTTAAGTCCCACCACTATCCTGTCTCGAATCATTTCGTCGTGGAGTGTGCCGAAGTTGCAGAACTTGGCAAGCTTGTGCAGATCTGTTATGAACCCTTCGACATTCTCTCCTTCTCTTTGACATCTCCGATGGAAACTGGCTCGCTCATAAATAACGTTCCGTCTCACGACAAAGTGGTTCTCAAAGGCTTGGAGCACGGCGCTGTAGTCTCTCATGAATCAGAATTCATGATTCGTAGGATCATGAATCAGAAGCGTAACTATGACCGACGACACGCTGTCCGCCGGCTTCAACCTTTGATGGCTGGTGTTAGAGTGTGGATAACCGATCGACGCGAAACTGGAATAGTGCAGTCGTCGGTGGACACTCCAAGGTCCTACTCCGTCAACACACAAGATGGGAATCTCAGTCGGAACCGATTTCATCTCGCCCCGATTCCGACAGTGCCCAAATCACCTGACCTTTCACCGCAAGCTACGATTGCGGAAAGAACACAAGAGCCGACCTATGGGACCCCACATTCCGATCACGTTGTGACCCGAAGTGGCCGAGTAGTCAAACCCATAGTACGCTTTAGCCCTTAGCTAAAAGGGGGAGATGTGCTAGGAGCTATAGTCATCGCGAGGCGTGAGCCGGAAAAGACGACGATGAAGAAAAGGGAGGGGCGCTCGAGACAGATGATTAAATGGCCGATTCTAAACGGACGCTGGTTGAGTCCTGAGTTCCTGAGACCCTGACAACACACCAGCCTCGGCCGCTTGATCCTTCAAAACGACGTCCACATAATCGGCGGAAAGGAAGTGAGGATTCCTTGTGAACACCCCGCACTTACGCCAGACGCAATGCCGACTCTGCTGCCAAGTGTACCCGAGGACTTGAGTGGCGACCCTCCCGCAGGACGAGAGGAAAGGAGGTGGAAGGCAAGTTCACCAGAGCCCATCGTTGCAAAGCGTTCGGTGCTCGCTTGGGAAATTGACCCGTTGTCACCGGTGGTGAACAGCGAAGCTCCTGCCGTGATCCCACAAGGCATCGATCGCGACGCGCTAGGCGGCTAGGCGGCTAGGCTCCCTGAATAGGCCAACTCCCTACTGGGCTGTTCACAAGTTCAGCAACTTCGACGGTGTTGCTTATTTGGAGACTGCTCTTGAGTCGAAGTCTAACAAGGTCAGCATCGAAAGGGCGGTGTTCATTTGTTTCTACAACTTACCTTATGTGGTATCCATGTATACCTTCAGGGCCATGTATGGGCTGCAGATTGCAACCATGTATGCGCTGCAGATTGTATAGCCACGTATTTTAATGCCGTGCTGTAAACTATTACAACTTTTACATTGCCTTATTTACGTGTGCTGTTGTTTTGTGGTCTAAATGGTGTGAAAAAGTTGCTTGTTTTCTTCTTTGAATCTTCTAAAGCATTACTTTTTCAGCCTACGTTGTCTCAGTTTTTGGACTTAAGTTCAACGTTAAAACGCGTGATAAAAATTGTCACGGCTTATAAGCCATTTTTTAGAAGTGAACGTCGGGTAGTCCTCGGATGGTCATGGCAGCCATGAAGAAATATAAGATTATCATTATTTGCGACCGTCGCTTGGTTGGTTTGTTGCATAAATTAACACAAGAATGAGTGACAAGTGAGCTGATTAAGGTCAAGAAGAAGAAGACAGAGAAGTTAACCTGGGGTACTTAAAAACATACTAAAACAATCTCGGGCTTCGGTATGTGCCATTTCGTTCCATCATAAAATAAAATAGCAAAAAAAAGAAAAAAAACTGCTTTTGGGTTTTAGATATTCCCTATAAATGTCTAATGTTTGGCATTTTGCAACCAAGGAAATAGGCATTTCATTTAAAATGCTTACCAGCCGACGAACCGACAGTCGCAGCTAATTCTACGCTGAAACAACTTGCAATCTGCTTCTTTCAAGTCGCGATTGTTTGGGGGATCGGTGGCCGAGTGGGCTAAAGCGCACACCCAGCTCGACGCGCGTGGAGCGAAAGCTCGCGCTGCAGAACCCAGGGATCCTGGGTTCGCGTCCCACCCCTGCCCGTCTCGATCTGGATGAGCATCGTACCGGCGTGCGGTCGTGTATCACTACTGCGTGGTGCACGTTAAAGACCCCAGGCTAGCGGTTGTGCACTGGCTAAATTGCTCATCTACAGCAAGTGACTCGTCGCAACTTTAAATGACAGACCAACTAGACGCTGTATAAGTATCCCCACAACAAAATTTTTGGAAATTGTTTTAATCTGAAGGCGGAGTATTGTAGCTTGTACCGTGCAATACATTAAAGCATCATGTCGCCAACGGTCGTGCCGCAGCGTAATTGATGCCGCGGAACGATTGCTGGTAGGTCGTAGCAGTATCAAAACTCCTATGTGCACTCTACCAAAGCAGCACCAAAAATTCATATTTTCGCGCCTTCAGCCACACATGCGCACACCTTCTGGGTACCGCGCCGGTGTCGACACCTGTCGCGATTAATACCACGCGCCACATGCGAGCCGGTCCCAACACTACCCAAGTATTCTAGTATACACTGTAGTAGTGATACACGACCGCACGCGCGGTACGATGCTCATCCAGATCGAAGCGGGCAGGAGTGGGGATTGAACCCAGGATCCTGGGTTCTGCAGCGCGAGCTTTGGCTCCACGTGCTGGGGGCTCGCAGTACACCCCATTGACGATATTAGAATGCGGTTCACAGACTGGACCTGATTTCCTCGATTTAGGCTCGTTATTGCCCGACAAGCATTCGGGTAGTGGCCCGTTTCCAATCGCTGCAATGACGACAGCAGCCAAACCATAACGATATCTGGAACTCAGCGACTGCCATGTGCTTTGCCAACCCCGCGTGGCAATAATCAACATTGGCGGCCTATAATCGGCTCCAGATCACGTGGCCGCTTGTTCTGGCTGCGAGTTCAGGGTGTGAACGCTGCTCGTTTTATAGCGCAGCTCTTAGGCGCTCATTTAGGTTGAGCGTAGTCGTCGTCACCGTCGACGTCGACATCGGCGTAACCGCCCGTTGCATTATGGGATGTTTCCCCGCTAAAGTTAGCGGGGAAATTTTTACGCTAAATTTAGTCGGGAAAATTTTCCGCTTGACTTGGCGTTAAAATTTTTCCGCAATGTTTTCTCTAAATTTAGCAGTAAATTTTCTCGCTAAATTTAACGGAAAAATTTCCCTGCTAACTTTAACGGGTTAAGTTTTCCCGCTAAATTTAGCGGGGAAATTGACGTCCCGTCACCTCAACACCAATTCAGTGTCCCCGCTAATTTTAGCAGGGAAAACGACGCCTACTTTTGTGTCACGTCACTCACGAACCAATTCAGCGGCACGAGGGGAGAAGGATGAAAGAAGGAGGAGGAGGGGTGCGGGGGGGGGAAGAGGAGAGGATGAGGGGGAAGATGAGGAGAAGGAGGGGAGCAGGGGAGAGGAGGAAGAGGAGAGGAGGAGGAGGGCAGGAGGAGGGGAGGGTAGGGAGGGGGAGGTACCCCCTCCATACCCTCCCCTCCTCTCATACCCTCCCCTGCTCCTCCTCCAGAGCTGCGCTCTAGCTTTGCTGTGATTTCCTGAAGCTGAGCAGGTTGGTCATTCATGCTTGTGAGATATGCCAGCTGAACTAAGGAAGAAATATACGTCCTGTATATTTCTTCCTTCGTTCAGCTGGCATATTTCACCAGCTAATTTCGCATTACAGAGGTTTAAAAACGTCTTTAATTTTTGTTTAATTTTTTTCTGCGACTTCTATTGCCTGTGGTGAAAAACGTACACGTGTTTCATTGGTAATTAACGTCAGGGATTTGTTTTAAGCGGCATTAACTCAAAGGATAAAGATCGTTCCATCGCCCCTTTAAAACTTCTGAGCTAAAATGACAAACGCCTGCGTCCAATAACACGTGTCCTTAGCTTGTGACGCGCCTTGCTCAATGACGCTGCAACGCTCTATCTCTAATCCACAGCGAGTGATCGCCTCTTTCGCTAGATCCACGGATACGGGAAAGACGGGAAAGGTGACCCCCTTTACCAAATACTTATCAGATCCGCAAATGCCACACATGATCAGATACCCTCGCTGTGTGACTAGATTAGCAAGGTTTTGAACAGCTTTCTTATACGTTCCCTCATCCAGGCAGGCGCTCTCGAGACAGAGGGAGGTGAGGACCACGTCGAATGGTTCGTTGTGCTCTTCAGGTAGCACCTGAGGATCCAGGACATTGCAGAAAACAACCTTCCTGATGGCCATTCGTGTCCTTTCTTCGATCTCCCTCGCTCCACACTTTACGTCTCTGGAAGGTGTAAACAATTATAAACATAACAGAGTTCTCCATATATGTTTCTGTATCAGAATGACGTCACCGTCGTCCCGCATACTTGTTTTCTCGACTAGAATCGGACAGCAGAGTTCTTGTTTATTGCACAACATCTGAAGTCTGGACAGCGTACGATTATCGTAGTATCTTTGACAGAAAAAGAGTCTTAAATCCTTTCCAGTAAATATAAAAATATCAATTATAGAGTGACCTATCTAACATATATTAAATGGTTTATAGCATGTGACGCCTACAGATTCCAAGTTATGGATACAAGGATGTTTTAATGGAGGGGAGGCGAAGATTGCTTTGAACCAGTCGCTTTTACAAAGATGATTGTGGTTATATTATATGCCAAAGGACTTGAATCCGGCACTTCGCTTTTTCGTTTTAGGAGTGTACATCTATTTGGCCTCTCTTCCTCACCTCCTCACCAGAGCCTTGAACACATCATACGTTAGTCTTTTAACATCATTGCCAGATATAAACGATTGTTCAGCTTTCAAAACCCTCATATAGTTAAATAATATCTTTACCAGATATGCCTTTATGAAAACCCAGTTCTAAACTGGGTGTCGGTTGGCACCCTCATGTCATGTTTTACGGCGCTTTACAAAGATCACGCGTAAGAGGAAAGCCTTCTTACGTGAATCCTTCGAGGATGGCCAAAGGTTCGCTTTGAAAATACCAGTTTATTGCATCCGGAGACTTCTGGATCCATTTCTCGACTGCGAGTTTGTTCTGAGGCAGAAAATCGCTGAGCACAATGTCTTCTATCTTTTTCGTAGCCGGGAAGACGTTGTGAACTGTAGGGCCACAACCGACGTCCAGAAGCTTTCGTCCATGGAGCGATGCTTCAGCAGAGCGCGAGAAAAAATAGGAAAGTTGCAAGTCAGCAGCGCACCAAAGAACTCTACTGGTGGGACCATAGAGAGCATACGCCCTTGAACTGACCAACCTCTGCATCGCAGAAGTTGATCAGTGCTGCCAGGGGCGATTCCCGGACAAAAGCTCACCGGACAGAAGCTCACCGGACAAAAGCTCACCCATTTTTTAACAGACCCGGACAAAAGCTCACCAGGAGAAAATTTCATGTTGGTCTTAGAGGGAAACGAAGTTTAGAGAAAAAGGCGATGAGCCTCCTTTTGGCGAATTCGGCCACCGCGAAGCGGCGTGTACGGATAGGTCAGGTGAGTTAAATTTTTTTAGTGAGCCGCCGCAGGGACTGTTGCCGCAAAGCAGCGTAAGCGCAGAGGGGGCTTGAGTTAACACGCGCACCAGTAATACACGCGCGAAGTAGAAACGCCTTTTTTGAATAGTGTCCCCTTTTCGATAAACGGCATATCTCTAAAGTGAGGCTCTGCTTTCTCTAAAACGTGCTTCAGTAAAACGTGACCGTTCTCTAAAACATGTTTTGACGAAATGGCATTCGATCAACTGTAATAAACCCTTGCGTGGGATGGGGTACAAGTTCACCTAAAAATGGTGCAATGTCCATCGCGTCCGCATTTTATTTCAGCCCGTGTTTCGCCCGGGTAGCGAAAAAAAAAATGGGGCGAGCTTTTGTCCTGGTCTGTGAAAAAACGTGTGAGCTTTTGTCCGGTAAGCTTTTGTCCGGTTACCGCCAGGGGCCAACCTCTACAGTACAAAGGTAGATTGTGGGACACTAATCCGTTCTCTACGATCTACATGTCATTTCGATCTTCTTTTATATCTAGAGTGACACAGCTGTAAGAGAAAAGGGTTTAGACTCACCAGACACAAAGTTGCAGTCGAAAGACCGCGAAGCGCGCCGATTTGACTTCGTCGACAAAAGCGTGGCGTCATCGTCGCGAGAGTCCTATCGGCGCGCTCCGTAAGCTTGGACCCAATTTCGCGGTGAGGCTCAAGTTCAAAAAAGCACCGGAAAAATTGTCATTCGTACGTAGAGAGCTCAAAGCTAATAGGGACCATAAAGAAGATCTTGAAATCATATTTCATCCAAGGGGGATCGGTGGCCGAGTGGTCTCGTGCACACCAGCTCGGAGCACGTGGAGCGAAAGCTCGCGCTGCGAAACCCAGGTTACGGTGGCTATCCAGGTATCCTGAGCTCAATCCCCGCCCCCGCTCGTTTCGATCCGGATGAGCATCGTACCAGCGTGCGGTGGTGTATGAGTCTCGCGTTCGTGAAATCGGAGAGCAGCTGCTCTCCAACTCCGTGGCTCTGACTGCTGCTTTCGCTGCGCACCGCCCAGTGCACCGATCGCGTTGGGCGGTACCTAAGAAACCGGAGTTGGTTTCTTGCGGCGCTTGCGGCTCCATCAGAAGAAACTTCAAACTTCGAACAAAACGTAACAAAACCGAGAAGAAACGCGAAAAAGATGGCGACGCAGGCGAAGTGGGCGAAGTGGTTGCGTCTACTGGGTTAAAGAGTAGCCGCTTGCAATTATGTGACAAGTCGCGCTTCAAATCTAGTAGAAAAGAATGCATACATAAAAACAAACAAAAATTAATAACTTTTAGTTCGGGTATACATTGATTAACGTAATCACATTTTTTTGTTTTTATTTGAGGTTTGGGTAGAGGCTACAGATTTGGCCCGTGACCGAATGCGAATGAGTTCCGCCGAACCCCTTCGGTGGGAAATGCAAATCGCAGCGAATACCATTCGTGCAGGCCATGTAGCACCAGTGGAATGACATTTGGGGCTAATGTCATTCGTTGTAAATGGCATTCGAGTTGCCCGTGTGTCACGGGCAACTCGTGTGGCACGGGCAACTCGAATGCCATTTACAACGAATGACATTTGTGTGATCGGCGAATCAGCTCGCAATCTGTTGCGCGAGGAATGTGCTACGCCCGGAGTGTCGCGCGCTGATTAGCCCTCCCCTCGAATGTCATTCGTTGTAAATGACATTCGAATTGCCCGTGTGGCACGGATAATAAGCGCGAATGGGGGACTATGACGTCGATTTCGTTGCGTGTGCTTGCGCACACTTGGCGGCTGCTGACTCTTGGAAAATAACGTGCGCCACTTATTATGGACACTAAATTCTTTGTTTTAGTATTCATTTAATGTATATACTTACGGGAGCTGAATATGGTGTGCAGCTCTTTTTGGTAGAAGGTGTAGGCTGAAGGAATCGTCTCCAAAGCCTCGGGATAGTCTTCAGGCACAAACTGACTCCTGTACTTTTCCGCAAGTTCTTCCTGGTTCATGATGTAGTGGCTGCACCAAAGGACATTCATTTCATTAGTGCGATTAACGAAGGTGCTTTTCTGTATAAACCTCGAAACAATATTTTCACAGCAGCAGCTACTCCAGGTGATGTCATCAATCACATGATCGCTCCCAGGTGCCGCACCTGGGGCTTCCAGGTGTGCCCGCCGTCTTCGCGGAGTTTATAAGGAAACACAATTTCCGAACTGAAACCAGCGAACTGTGGATGATAAGCAATCGTTTTCTCCGGAGTCAACCGCTCTACCAACTGAGCTATTGAGGTTTTGTTTTTGTTTATTACATTGAGTACAATACCCACAGGTTTTTCGACGGACCTCTGTCGTGTTACAACACAGCTGTATAGAGTTCTTGCATCAGACCATGATGCGACGCTACTACCGGTTTGTAAATCTCACCGGTACCCACCGGACTCCATGTTGGAGGCACTCGTCGATGTTTTGTGCGCTTTGGGGCCGTGGTCGGACTCTAGTTTGTCCGTACAAGTCGGTGACAACGAAGCTACGGCTAGCAGTATATCTTGGTTTTTCTAGAATTCCGGGAATAATTAGGAACCAGGACAAGGCGACGTTCGAGCAATTGGTTCGCCGGCGTTATGAATGGCTCCGTGGGATACGGCGGCACAACATCCATCAGGTAGGCGAAGACGGGAACAGAACGCTGCAAATCACAGACGCTAATTTCTACGGTCCCGAGAGAAAGAATGAGAAGGAGGTGACAAAAGAGCAGAGAACGAAAGCAGACGAAGGGTTAGGGGTGTTCGTTTTGCCGTGATAAGTTAAAGTTGCTCGAGCTATTGTCAATTTTATTTAATATTGTCAATGCTCTATTCTGGTATTTTTCTGTAAAATGGGCGACAAAATAACGAGGTACAGACCTTACAGGTGTGGGCTCATCGGGACCGCCATCTGACACAGCCGATGTCTTCTATGCCTCGCCGTTCTGAAGCGGCCAAACGCATGGGACCTTTCACTCTAGATTATTATACTAACTCTATGGTATCGACAGAAAAGCTAAGTACACCAACTAAAGGTTTGCGGACTGCATTTCGTGGCAGGGGAGAAACCTCTTTGGTGATATACTAGGACGAGAAAATATTCTGAAATGCAGTCATAGAAGAACAGATCTATGACTGTACGGTACTACTGTAGCCGCAAAAATGCGCCGAATGCCTCCAACATGGCGCCAAGGCGCTGATAGCAGACAACAATGTTGGTTTCGATTTCGAGTCTAACTGGAAGTGACGTCAGGTGCAAGAGGCCTATTTCGGTTGTGGCGCAAATTTAAACCTTCGCATTTGTGTTTGCGCATCAAACTTGGTGATCTACTCTGGCACAGGCCATAAGTTAAAAACGTATCACACGGGACACTGTCATTTTCTTCCCCAGTTAAAAATCGAATCTTCCTCAAACCCCCTCCCCCCCCCCCCCAAAAAAAAAAAGGAAAACGCGTTTTAACAGCATCAGATATTCTACAAATCCTAAATTGAGCTGTCGACGTTTTTCTTTCTTTTTTTTTTTTTTTTGTTTATTGAGGCCGTTCCACAAGAACAGTCAAATGCCGTCAATTGCGTGCACGATGGACTGTCTCACTTGAATTCTGTTGGAGAGGCATATACTATAGTCGGCTGATAGCCTGATATTTCGGCTGGTGATCAAAATTCTACGATTTCTTATCCTTTCAAAAGCTGTCACCACTCCGCTCCAGCATCAAGTTTCCGGTACACAGCTGTTAGCACATGTACATCACGCTCAAATAAGTAACTGTGTACTCTGCGAGACGTACCGCCATCCTGCTATTGCAAACGGCATGCAGGTAGCAGCACCGGCTCATAACAGTGAGCAGTCGACGGGACAAATATCAGTGAATTAAAGCAATACAACCTAGAAGACAAAACGTGTCCCCCCCCCCCCCCCCCCCCCCCCCAAACCTCACACCTAGTGAATTTACGCAGCGCCGCCTGGCTCTCCTGGCATCGTCGATGCCAGGAGAGCCAGGCGATGTAAGCACACGGCGTCGACAAGGCACACGCGTCTTGCCGAATTATTGCGGCTCTCGTAGGGCTTCAGCGTGTTTGCCGCTTGAGGCGTGTTGGGATCCACTAACTATGACGTCATGCACAGGCTTCTGTCATTTCTGAAGAAGTAAAGACCGCGCGAGCACAGCTGTGATCGGCGCTGAATGTGCGCTAGGGCACAGGTATACCCATAGCTTTGACTTCGATTGCCATGAAAATTTGTCCCCAAGTTTAGGTGGTATACTAATAGACCGATCACAGCGAGCGTTCCTAGACGTGATGGTTCCAGAGTTTCTGGTATGGAGACACATGTTCGCGTTCCATGGATTCGCGAGCCACCATGACAGGCTTTCAAGCGAGAGGTTCGTGCCAGCACACGTGGTGTGCACGCGCGTTTTCTGCCCAAACACCTGGAACCGGTGGTTTCATAAAAAAAAAAGGCCCGGCTGAATAAACATACACATAACACAGTTGCTAAAAAGGTGGACAGGCAGGCGACAGTAAACCACTGATTTCTATTGTATATGCTGGATGGCGGTTTGGGAGCCCGACGGTGAAACCACCGGCAGCCATCCCTTGCCAGCAGACCTTACATGCAGGTCTCTGGGGAATGAATTAAAATAAAGTTTTTGAAGCTGATATGAAGTGTCTCGCAAAGTAACTTTTAAGAGGTTTCGCAGGAACAGTAAGACATAATTTTGCAGTCGTCAGTTTCTGTTGAGACGGTTATTAACTCTGTCGTCTGCACAGATGCACTTTAGCGAGGGTTCACTGGCTTCCAGAGATCTTTTCGCAAGATGATTTGACCTAAATACACACAAAATCAATCACAACCAAGGTGGCATATGCACCGAGCAAGCTGGATCAAAACACACAGCCACACAATGTGTTGCTTACGCCGTTCCTCACGTTTGGTGAAAACAAAAATTATGCGTCAAACGCAATCTGCAATCTTTCGTAAGTAAAAGTATAAAAGTAAACATCGAAGCAAACCTTTCTGGCCACCTGCATTAGAGTTCCTAGAGCCACTAAATGAGCTGCGCTTAGAGTACCGGCACTCCGTTCTCCAACATTGTTGTGGGCGCCGCCATTTTGGCTCGTAGGCAGAGCAGGGGCAACTGCCGATCGTCATGATTCAAAAGTGCGACTACCTCGGCATTAGATTCGGTGTTAGAAAGCTCATGTAATATTGGTTTGCTCTGCTGCGAGCTGTTTAATCATTTGCTCAGGAAAAGCGTTTCCTGTGATTTCAGATAGAGCTTCAGATAACTGGCAACCATGATTCTAAGACACAATATGGCCAAGTGTTGTTACTCTGAAGCGTAGCTTATTTAGTGGCACTAAGAGTTCCTGTATGGGCTTCCTACGGGAGCCAGAGTTGCGCGCCTGTTTTCCACGTGCCGCCGCACCGCTATTCGCCGAGATCCGATCACGTGATGAGCCGGATCAAGTGCCGTGCAGGAAAGTAGACGTTGCGCGCGCCCCGTCGAACGTTCCCCTGCTTTTGAGCACGCCGCGCGCGTCGAAAGCGCGGCGCTGCTATTCGCCGAATTCAGTCACGTGACGAGCTGGATCAACATGCCATGCAGGAAAGACGGCGCTACGGGGATGAACGCACAACTCTGGCTCCCGTAGGGAGCCTATAGAGGCTTTACACACGCGCCAGAATACAGCCGCCATTGCTGACCTTCTCTTGTCTTACGGAGATACCGAGCCACTGGAACGGGTGTTGACGAGCCTCCAGAAAGGTCAATGCTGTGAAGAAGGACACAATGGAATCTAAGATGGCAAAATCCTGGACTGCTAGGGTAATGACGAAGTGAAGAAAATGGAATAAGCGGAAACAAAAACTGAAGGTCAGTTATGGCGGCGCCCATGCACAACTGCAGCTGTAAAGCGTCTATACAAGAACTATAACCTGCATGACGGCGTGGCTCTCTCTGGCTGCCCGTGGAGCCCTTGGAGGAAGTCAACGGAGAGGAGGATAGAAAACAATTTTTCCTCTAAAACTTCAGTGTAGGAAGTATTGACATCACTGCACAAAACTTTTTCACCGTACCTAGGAAACTTCGTCAAAGTTTGGTCATCCTAAATCTAATACAAACGAGAGAAATCTCCTTTTCTCACGTTCTCCTCAAAGGGTTCGATGCATTTGCTGGTGTCAAGCATCCGTCAACAATCCAGCCTGCTACAATAGACATCAGTGCAGTGAACGGGACACCTCATGCCGTCTTGTGCTCTGCTATGCGCTTGACTGTCGCGCGTAAGGTGTAGGTTCGATTCCAGTTAGCGGACTGTCCTTTTATTTATTCTTTCAACTTGGCCTTCTCTTAAGTTCGAGAACATTCTCGTCTGATCGAGTTCCGAATGTCCTACGCACCGAAAGTTCTACGCCGAACAATCCAGAAACCCTAGAGGGTACATAAGGGATTCCGCAAGGCAAGCGGAGTCAGTCTCGCCCCAGCGTTCGACTCTGCTCTTACGCCCACTTCGACGCTCGCGACGCTCTGCTGTTACCTTCTGTTTCTTTTTATTTTCTTTTGGGCACAAGTTCGCCCCATTAAACGTTTACTCAGTTATTACTCAGTTATTTGCCACCTCATCACTTGTCATTCGTGACATTCTGGTGTAGGTTCTGGGTATAGCTTTCTATGCCCGTTGAGCGTACACCTCCGAATACATCCCGGCGAAGTGAGGTGCTCAGCCCCGGAAGGCTACCCTGCGCAGAAGACGCAGTCGTTTGAGCAAGCCGCCGTACCAGAGGCCAATCTCTGGAATTGGTACCCCTGCCGCAGAAACAGAAGAAGAAGACCGCGAGCATGACCACTCCACCCGTCGTTGTCCTTCCCGTCGCTGTCCGTACGCCTGTGTCTTTCCATGGCGAGCCTTATGAAGACGCCGAGGACTGGCTGCAACAGTACGAGCGAGTGGCCCAGCACAACCGATGGACGGAAGAACAGCGCCTACAGAGTCT